CCAAACGTCCGGTACGGCTACTTCTATCTTTATGTGCTGTATCTCCCCCCCCGCCCCCAGGAAGTAAGCGATCAGGGTTCGCCACAATTTCCTGTTCCTTGCAACTCTAAATAAATTGTCTTTTCGTCATTTCTAAACCCTGTTCCGCCTTCCATTTTCTCAAGCTCGTCAAGTATGTTATGCGTTATTTACCTCTGTCCCCCTTGCCCAGAATCTGTCCTATGAGTAACAGATTTTCCAAGCCCTCTTTCCTCATTATGTGCCCTATAAACTTCAAATGTATTTTCCTGATGTAAGTTTTCTATTTGTTTCTATTTTCCTAGTCTTTGTTCACATGTTCAGCCCATGGTATCTTCATCATCTTTCTGTAGATCCACATTTCTGTTGCTTCAAGTCTCTTCTTCATCTTTGAAGAAATTGCCCAGTATTCACTACCATACATAATGACAGTCCTCTTTTCTTTGTTTCTAACGAAGGTTTTCTATCTCTTAATACTCGTAGGCCTACCGGTAAATGAACTTAGACTACACTATACGATAACTTGTGCAAAAACTACATAAGGTCACACCACTTGCCTGTATATTGAGACAATAACTGTAATATCTTTCAATATGTTGTTGTATAGTAAACAATTTACAACAATCACCGGTAGTCACCGTATATTGTATCGGTATAACTTAGCCGACATTCAAAATTCGTCAGGTCTATTGATGAACACATAGTAGCAAATGATGGAAATTTCAAAGAAGAACAACTTGAAATAACAGAAACAAAGAAAAGAGTACAGAACTGTTACGTAATATCAGTCCTCCTACATGTCAGTGAATGCTGGACAATCTCATCACATATGAAGAAGAGACTTGAAACAACAGAAACAAAGAAAAGTGTACTGAACTGTTACGTAATATCAGTCCTCCTATATGGCAGTGACTGCTGGACAATATCCTCACATATGAAGAAGAGACTAGAAGCAACAGAAACAAAGAAAAGAGTACTGAACTGTTACATAATATCAGTCCTCCTATATGGCAGTGAATACTGGACAATCTCCTCACAGATGAAGAAGAGACTAGAAGCAACAGAAACAAAGAAAAGAGTACTGAACTGTTACGTAATATCACTCCTCCTATATGGCAATGAATGCTGGACAATCTCATCACAGATGAAGAAGAGACTAGAAGCAACAGAAACAAAGAAAAGAGTACTGAACTGTTACATAATATCAGTCCTTCTATATGGCAGTGAATGCTGGACAATCTCCTCACAGATGAAGAAGAGACTAGAAGCAATCGAAACAAAGAAAAGAGTACTGAACTGTTACGTAATATCAGTCCTCCTATATGGCAGTGAATGCTGGACAATCTTCTCACAGATGAAGAAGAGACTAGAAGCAATCGAAACAAAGAAAAGAGTACTGAACTGTTACGTAATATCAGTCCTCCTATATGGCAGTGAATGCTGGACAATCTTCTCACAGATGAAGAAGAGACTAGAAGCAATCGAAACAAAGAAAAGAGTACTGAAATGTTACGTAATATCAGTCCTCCTATATGGCAGTGAATGCTGGACAATCTCATCACATATGAAGAAGAGACTTGAAGCAATCGAAACAAAGAAAAGAGTACTGAACTGTTACGTAATATCGGTCTTTTTATCCTCACGATTGTAGAAGAAACTTGAAGAAAGACAATGTTCTACAGAAGGGTACTGCGTGTACCATGGACTGAACATATGAGCAACGACGATGTTTTTTTTTTTAAACAGAACGCTTATACTTAAGATAAAAAAGAGTGAGTTGAAATTCCGAGGGCGCATAATGAGAAAAATCTGACACTCACAGGACAGATTGATTGTAAATGCCAGTATAATGCATGACTTACCTAACGAGCTCATGCAAATGGATGGCAGAACAGATTTTAGGAGCGACAAAAAAAAGACAAAAGTTACTAAGATCTACAAAAGAGAGGAAATTGCGGAGATCCGTGATCGCCAACGTCATATGTGACATGTCACAGAGAACAAGTAGAAGAAGCTTCAAGGAAAAATTTATTTTTTATTATTACGGCACGCCTTATGTTGAGACATACCACTGGTCGGAAAAGTTGCCCATGCCAGGTGTAAATCTTTTCGGCTTTCGATAAGAAATTTTATTGAAAGACTTGCTCAGAATCATACACATCGTTCCAACTTTTCCTACTCCGTTGTAGTCTTCCTTTACCACAAGGACATATAAACCAAGTATTAATGAATGTTGTCAATTATCAAATAGCCATATATAACAGCTATTAAGACAGATATTCAACGTCGATTCGCTTCATAACGACTAAAATAAAAATTTACGTATATATATATATAATTAACGATATGCTTCGAAAGACATATTACACAGTATTTAGAGCAGAAACACGGACCTGTTTACAGAAAATAAAATGCAGCAAGCTTGTGCTGAAAATAAGCCCACATTTTTGGGTTGCCGACCTACAAAACGTGAGTGATCATGGCTCTCTACAGCTTCCTATCCTTTACAGCACTATATAACAAGTAATATTTGTTTTCTTACTAAACCTCCCAGTTGTTGTTCTGCCATCCACTTACATAAGCACTTTAGGCAGGCTACTCGATATTTCTCATCTGCTTTTCTTGCCTTCAATCTATCCTGTGGGTATCAAATTTTCTGAGCCCTCTTTCCTCATTAGGTGCTCTAGAAATTTCAACAATCTCTTCCTGAAGTACACGTATGTTTTTGTTTCCATTTTCTCTAAAACTTTGTCGTTGCTCACATGTATCGTCCATAATATTCGCAGAACCCTTCTGTAGGACCAAATTTCTGTTGCTTCAAGTCTCTTCTTCATCTGTGAGGAGATTGTCCAGCATCCACTGCTATATAGGAAGACTGATATTTAATGGCTCAGTACGCTTTTTTTTTGTTTTTGTTACTTCCACTCTTTTCATGTGAGGTGATTGTCCAGCATTCACTGCCATATATGTTTGCTGATATTATATAACAGTTTAGCATGATTTTCTAGCATTCACTGGTATATAGGATGACCGATATTACATAATAGTTTAGTACGCTTTTCTTTGTTGCTAACGAATTTTTCTATATCTTAATACATTGCTTAGCTTTTGGAAGGCATCTTTCGATATGCCAATGCACCCTCGGATTTCAGTGTCGCACTTTCCATCCTCTGTTAAAACATTTTCCAGATATTTAATTTGTTGTACTTGTTTGAATTTGGTATCTCCAATTTGTAATTTGCATGTTGGACTATTCCATTTACTAACAACCATGCATTCTGTCTTCTTGCATTTGATGATTCATTTGTTCTTCGTGTTTTTCTTCACTATCTTCTCTAGAATTTATCTTTCTGTGTCTGATTCTACATATAAGTGTCCTTTTTGTTTCCATTTTCTCTAAATTTTCGTTCTCTTTCCCATGTTCCGTCAGCATCACATTTTGGTTGTTTCAAGTCAGTTGTTTGATATTAAGTAACAGTTCAGTACTCCTTTCTTTATTTCTCTTATTTCATGTCTCTTTTTCATCTGCGAGGAGAGTGTCCAGCATTCACTGCCATATAGGAGGAGTAATATTACGTAACAGTTCAGTACTCTTTTCTTTGTTTCTGTTGCTTCAAGCCTCTTCTTCATCTGTGAGGAGATTGTCCAGCATTCATTGACATATAGGAGGACTGATATTACATGACAGATCAGTACTCTTTAAATAGTTTTTGTTGCTTCAACCCCCTTTTGTAGGATGTAATAGCGCGGTGTCTCTGGTTGAGACCTTTTAGTTCTTGGAACGTGGTTAGTGAGGTACTGAGAGACTTAATAATTCTGTTTCAGAATATTAGGAGAAAAATATGAGGGAGTGGTTAATCGAATTGGTGTATGATGAAAAAGACTGGTTTAAAAATATTATTTTAAACACCTGTAATGCTTAAAATGAGTGCTTCGGATATTAAATTAATTTAAGATATACTTCTCCAGGGTTAAATGTTTGTCATATATAAGACAGTTTTCTGGCTTTTAAATCATTAAAACAGAATAATTAGTTACTTAGTCACTTTATTGCTTCACTTGGGGTGAAATAAAAACAAAAAAAAAACAACAAAAACAACGAACAACAAAGTATTCGACGAAACGTGTAGCCTTTGCGTAATGTTTTGTCTGTGCATACAGGTGTCGTTCACGTTAAAGAAAACTGCGGCGATTGACCTAGTTTCGCGAGGCGAATGTTGGTGTTCTATCTTCTCAGCTCACTCGACAAATATAAACTTGTGTCACCCGAAGAAAATATCGATTGTTACAAGTATTATAATTATTGTCAAGGATCGGTTTCATAACTGACATATTTGTTCATTGTCGCTGGCGTCGCCGATTCGTATTTGTGACTGGGAATACGTATATTGATTTTTAAATTAGGTCGGTCTGGGACATTGGTGAACATATCATCCGATCTGATAACATTTGGTCTCTACTTTTTATCTTGAATATTCTAGTACATTTAGTCTACTTTTATCTTGAATATTCTATTTGCTGACGGACTACCAATCATAATTCATTTTTACTAGTATTTCTTTCGTTTCACTCGCTTTTTATTGCATTAGTAATATTAGTAGTAACATTATCGTGTTTTTATGTCATTGTTTACCCAATACAAGGCGCAAGAGCCAGTCAAGGCAGAGGGGGTACTGAAGAAGTGCATATTATGAGGATATGTAAAATAGATAAATGACACTAAATTGATTTGTTCTTTTTAAAGCTTATCAATCATTTCCATAAAGCCAGAAAATATTTTTATAATATAAAAATCTTTTGAGGTCGATAATGATTTTCTGATATAAGTCCCACTAATTAACCCATAGCTGGGCGTGGGAAGAGATGGATTCATACCTTTCCCAAGGGTATTTGCGCGTAAGTGAATATAACGAAGCAAACTAGAATTGGAACTCGGCTCTCCGATTCCGAGCCGTTATACCTTACACCACCCACACATCCAAGCTTGCAGGAGGTCACCCATCTAGGTACTGACTAGGCTCGACGTTGCTTAACTTCGGTGATCGTGCGAGAACCGGTGTTTCAAGGTGATACGGCCGTGTCTCGTTGACTCTCGAATTGAAGAGGATAAAGTTGTAGTGATCGGGGGTTTGTTCCACAAAGTGATAGTTCTGTAGAAGAAGCTCTCTGAATGGCACTTCCTCCTTACAAATGGTATACGACAGAAATGAAGATGAAGGGATTCCGTGTACGGGGAATGGCGGGTGGAACTAAGGAAATAAGCTAGTCTGAAGATTTACCATGGAAATAAAGATGGAATAAAAAAGAGGCTACCAACGTATCGCCTATAGAAAAGGGGCTGCTCGGTGAAAATAATTTATCACCCACAAGGACACGCAATCAGCTCAAATTCTGCAGCAATAATCCATCTTTTGGTTTGATCTAACACTTGTAAAGAACGTGCATCGCAGAAGTGGTCAGGTATTTTCTTTTATTGATTAATTGATTCGTTTTCTATGGCGTATCAACTTTTTACAGGTGATTTAAAGCCAGAAAATATTTTTAGATCGTAAGAATTTTTTTTGGGGGGGGATGAGATAATAATAGTTTAGTGATACATACTATTTAACCCATAGCTGGGGGATAAGTGGATTAATACTTTTCCCAATGGTATTTGCTCGAAAGTGAATATAACGATTCCAACTGGAATTCGAACTCGGCCCTCTGATTAAAAATTCCGAGCATTGTCGATTACACCACTTGCACATTCAAACTTACAACCTCTAGTAGTTCTAAGTGGTCACCCAACTAGGTACTGACCAGGATCGACGTTGCTTAACTTTGGTGATCGCAAGAGAACCGGTGTTTCAGCGTGATATGGCCGTAAGACATACCACCCACGCATCCAAATATACCTAAGTGGTAACACATCTAGGGACTGACCAAGCTCGACGTTGCTTAACTTTGGTGATCGTACGGGAAATGGTGTTTCGGCATGATATGACTATAAGCCATACCACCCTCAAATCCAAACTTACCTGGTACTCCTAAGCGGTTACCCATCTAGGTACTGACCAGGATCGACGTTGCTTAACTTTGGTGATCGTACGGGAAATGGTGTTTCGGCATGATATGACTATAAGCCATACCACCCTCAAATCCAAACTTACCTGGTACTCCTAAGCGGTTACCCATCTAGGTACTGACCAGGATCGACGTTGCTTAACTTTGGTGATCGTACGGGAAATGGTGTTTCGGCATGATATGACTATAAGATACCACCCTCAAATCCAAACTTACCTGGTACTCCTAAGCGGTTACCCATCTAGGTACTGACCAGGATCGACGTTGCTTAACTTTGGTGATCGTACGGGAAATGGTGTTTCGGCATGATATGACTATAAGCCATACCCCCTCAAATCCAAACTTACCTGGTACTCCCAAGCGGTTACCCATCTAGGTACTGACCAGGATCGACGTTGTTAACTTTGGTGATCGTACGGGAAATGGTGTTTCGGCATGATATGACTATAAGCCATACCACCCTCAAATCCAAACTTACCTGGTACTCCCTAAGCGGTTACCCATCTAGGTACTGACCAGGATCGACGTTGCTTAACTTTGGTGATCGTACGGGAAATGGTGTTTCGGCATGATATGACTATAAGCCATACCACCCTCAAATCCAAACTTACCTGGTACTCCCAAGCGGTTACCCATCTAGGTACTGACCAGGATCGACGTTGCTTAACTTTGGTGATCGTACGGGAAATGGTGTTTCGGCATGATATGACTATAAGCCATACCACGCTCAAATCCAAACTTACCTGGTACTCCTAAGCGGTTACCCATCTAGGTACTGACCAGGATCGACGTTGCTTAACTTTGGTGATCGTACGGGAAATGGTGTTTCGGCATGATATGACTATAAGCCATACCACCCTCAAATCCAAACTTACCTGGTATTCCTAAGCGGTTACCCATCTAGGTACTGACCAGGATCGACGTTGCTTAACTTTGGTGATCGTACGGGAAATGGTGTTTCGGCATGATATGACTATAAGCCATACCACCCTCAAATCCAAACTTACCTGGTACTCCCAAGCGGTTACCCATCTAGGTACTGACCAGGATCGACGTTGCTTAACTTTGGTGATCGTACGGGAAATGGTGTTTCGGCATGATATGACTATAAGCCATACCACCCTCAAATCCAAACTTACCTGGTACTCCTAAGCGGTTACCCATCTAGGTACTGACCAGGATCGACGTTGCTTAACTTTGGTGATCGTACGGGAAATGGTGTTTCGGCATGATATGACTATAAGCCATACCACCCTCAAATCCAAACTTACCTGGTACTCCTAAGCGGTTACCCATCTAGGTACTGACCAGGATCGACGTTGCTTAACTTTGGTGATCGTACGGGAAATGGTGTTTCGGCATGATATGACTATAAGCCATACCACGCTCAAATCCAAACTTACCTGGTACTCCTAAGCGGTTACCCATCTAGGTACTGACCAGGATCGACGTTGCTTAACTTTGGTGATCGTACGGGAAATGGTGTTTCGGCATGATATGACTATAAGCCATACCACGCTCAAATCCAAACTTACCTGGTAATAAGCGGTTACCCATCTAGGTACTGACCAGGATCGACGTTGCTTAACTTTGGTGATCGTACGGGAAATGGTGTTTCGGCATGATATGGCTGTAAGTAAGCTAGTAACGGTACAAGGAAGCGACTATTCTTCTTGTATCTTTGGCAATGGCATTTATACAGTGTTGTTCATAAAGAAAGGGCAGATTTCTAATATTTAATAAAAACAGTTGTTGAAGCTGTGAAGTCAATATTCACAGATCAATTGATTCGAGTGTGACAAGAAGTTGAATATCGTTTCCATGTCTGTTGCACAACACATGCTGCTCATCTAATGCATACAAGTTAAACGAGCTTAAAATAATAAACTTTGAACCTTTTTTTAACCATTAATGCGGTTCTGTTTCTTAGCTTTTTTTTTTTTTTTTTTATTAAATATGACAGACGTTCAAGAACTGCTATAATTTAAGGATCTGATCAGTAGTGAGGAAACGTTCTCCCGCTGCGTTTTCAACACTATTTACATTATTCGGACTATTGTCCTCATCTTTGTCACCATATTTATCACAACGTTTCGGCCGTTGTACGCTCCGGCCTTCTTCAGGTGGTTGGAATGTCGAACTGAAACCTTTATTTCATCAAATGGGTAGATTGTTCTAGTTCCATGTGTCATGCCTCTTCCGGATGTCTTAGTTATTTCTCTTTAACTCAACTCTCCAAATTTTGGTTCACCATTGCTGTATCCTGGTCTTGAACTCACAACTCTTTGGGTCTAGTCACTGTATCTAACCAACAGCTTTATCCAGAATGTCCTTTAATTTCAAGCTGAGAGATTAAATTTAATATTTCTAATAAGCAAAATACTTTGTCGTATTTCAAAAAAGAATTTAAATTGCCTGGAAGAGAATTTTTGCTAAAATAGCTGATTGCCGCTTTTTTTTTTGTCGCCTTTCATTGCAATGTAATTACCTTTATTAAAAAAAATCTTACAAAAGGAAAATATACTTTTCTGAAACTTTATTGGAGGAATATTAGCTGATTTAAATTAATGAAACAAATATTATTTACTTTAATTTTTAAAAGTTCGCAGAAATGCATTTCTTGACCCAATAATAGCTGTTTTAACCCGACAGTAGCTGTTTTGATAGCCTGATGACAGATTTAATGTTGCTCTACGGGGACATTATATATAAAACATAATTGAAGAAAATGACGTGAGCACCTTTTTTTTTATATAATTTTTAAGTAGTCAGTAATCATAAAATTTCAGGAAAATATTCTCCCTTATCTCATGTTTTATTAAATTTTAGAAACTCCAGCTTTAAATTTACTATAGTTATCTTTCTTATTTTCTGATAAAGCCGTGTATAGTCGCCCGTACTTACAAAAATCGTCATGTTTATACACACCTCCCCCAAAATTTCAAAATTCTTTTTAAAATATTGGTGCTTGATGAATTGTACTAAGCTTTTCCATTTATGATTAGTAAATATAGTTTTCACTTAATAATAGTATAATATACAGGCTGAAATTAATACAGAATTTTAAAAGATTTAAAACTTAATAAATATTCCTAATTAAATGTTTAAAAATGAAGATAATTCTTGTAAAAATTCATTATTCATCGAAAAGTTGTTTTTTCTTAAGACAATAGTGTCCTTAATATATCTTATTTATAAAAGCAATTAAAAACTTTTCTAATTAAGTAATGATATAGATTTATTACATTTTTTAGTTTACGATTCAGAGCAGATTTTCGGTAAATAGTGTTCCTGTTTGACAAAAGCAAATTAATGATTTAAATTCTTCAAGGATTCCTGCTTTTAATGACCTGACTTGTACAGGTACAATTTATGTACATTACATGCCAGTTTGCAAAGTGTGTTATTTGTAAATATGTAATTTTTTGTTATATTCACTTTTATATGCGGTCATTTTATTTTATTATTTATCTCTTAGCAGTTTTAAGCGTTTTGCCTTCCATTGTTTATTTTGTTTATTAAACGGTTATATATATATATTTTTTTACTTGCATAATTTAGCCAATTTACGCGATGATTTCGTATTTTGTACATTTTAATCACCATCATAACATGTATAGTTTATTTAAATAGTTCTTTTTTTCTCAATCACCGCTTTATATCGTTCGGAGATTGTTATAATTTTTATATTTTATTTTATTAATTTTATTTATTTTTCATCGGTTTTGAGCTTGATATATATCATAAGAAGCTTTGTCTTTCACATTTTATTATTATTATTTTCCTCTTGAAGGTTATAGGAATACACTGCAAGGCAGATCGCTCTCGTTTTTTTTGTTTTCTTTCGTAATTTAATTTAACTTAATTCAAGAGTGTTTCGTGGTTTGCTGTGTGTTAACCGACTCCATAATTTGTTAATAGGTTTTTAATCAATTTTAATGAATATTGTTGTGTTTTATCTTTTCGCGTACAGTTAAAACAGACGGCATGTTAATGGACAATTATTTGAAAGTTGAGAATACGTCCATTTGAAAGTTAGATGACCTGTGTCAATTGGTAATTGAGTTGAGCGATAGGAATGTGGTGATGGTGAGGTTGAGTTTAGGTTCCCTCCCCCAACTACAAAATAAAAATAAAACTGTAAATATTTAGAATAAGGCATCAAACCATACTTAGGAAACAACAAAAAGTGCTAAATTTACGAACGTTAAATTACTTCCTCCTATCCACCGAAAATAAAGAAGAGAAGCCAGTCCCCACCGTGGACCATTTAAAAGACAGTTCGCACAGCGGATTGGTTGTTACAAACATCCAATCGTGGTCTATCTTCGTCTAATTCATTAAAAGGTCTAGAGTATCTGCTAGCGCTTGATTTGGATTGGTCGAGCTCCCTACCTTTAAACCGACCTTGTGTCACAGATTCTGCCAGCTTGAGGCGGCAAGAATATACAATCGCTTCTTGGCCTTTTGGCTAAGATCAAAGTATAATATCTGTTCTTATCAGCTTACCTGATTTTCTCTCCACTTCTTTCTTTCTTTCTTTCTTTCTTTCTTTCTTTCTTTCTTTCTTTTGCTCACTAAAACCAAGCCGTGTCTGTTTCGCTCTTTCCACGCGATCAAAACAGAATAGGCTATTATTTATGAGGTATTGGCAGGGCGTAACGGCCGTTCAAACGAAGGAAGGGACATAAACAATTATAATCGGATATTTTATTACCTCCAATATTGATGCATTCAGGTACAGCTTCAAGAATACCACTGAGCAATTACGAATTTTATTTACTAAGCTTAATTTAGTTTTGGCACAAGATCCCAAGTAAGAGGCACATAGTGAGGATCGAACTCACTACTAATTAGTAATAGTCAGCCATATTAACTCGGTGAACATTACTTTCTGCCGTCGCCCATAGAAATTTACAATGATTAACATAGTTTTGGCCAAGGTCGCAACTTAGGGACACCTAATGAACATCGAACTCACTAATCAGAAGTAATGGTCAACCACACAAGCTCGTTAACCATTACTCTACACCGGAGAGCCCGTTTTATTTTACTAAGCTTAACACAAGCCACATCTAAGTGGCACCGTGTGAGAATCGAACTAAATGTAGTAATGGTCAACCAAACGAGCTCGTTAACCACTACTTCATACCGGGCGCCCATTTTAATTTACATATGTAAGTGGCATCTAGTGAGAATCGAACTGACTAATCAGAAGTAATCGTCAAGCAGACAAGCTCGTTAACCATTACTCGACACCAAGGTGCCCGTTTTAATTTACTAAGCTTAACACAGGTCACATGTAAGTAGCACATAGTGAGGATCGAACTCAATAATCAGTAGTAATGGTCAACCAAACAAGATCGTTAACTATTACTCCACACCAAGGCATCCATTTAAATTCACTAAACTTAACATAGTTGGCTCAAGGTCTCAAACAAGGAGGACTTCGTGAGGATCGAACTCTCATCAGTAGTATTGGTCAACCAGACTAGCTTTTTAAACATAAGAGTCACCTAGTGAGGACCGGACTACTCAATAATAATGGTCAACCAGACTAGCTCGTTAACCATTACCTATTTCCTAAACTCTGAATAAGTATTCCGATTTACTTGGTTTTTGAAAGAATAAAAAGGTCAATCACAACTGGACAGTCGTTGAATTTGAAACCGTACCACAGAGATTAATTTTTCTTGCTGTACTATGCCAATCATGTATCAGTGAAAGTAAGATTATTTATTTCGTAAAAAATACAATATTGTGGCACAAGGCCGAAGGGGAAAATGGGGAGAGGCTAGTCTTCATTAGCTATCCTAGTCCTAGTTAATCAGAATCATGACCCATTTATTCATTACAATTTGCCCATTCACCACAAGAACTCATCCATCACCACTCAGTCCTGCATATACCATAATATCGCATATTCAAAAGGGACCTATAAAACATCCCATGACGTAAATATTTCATGGTAAATTTGCTTTTCAATCCCCAAGCTAAATATCTATTAATATTTTTCGAAATCGTTATATTTCCATATAAATGTACATGCTGAACTCGAATTAACAATTACAATTATGATAAAACCTAACGTTTTGGAGTTATCGACCAG